TTTTTTTTTTTTTTTTTTTTTTTTTTACACAGCATGTCTCGACGCGCGAACTTTGGGCATAGGAGAAGAAGATGATGAAGAGAAGGAGAAGGAGAGAAGCGGGGAGAGGTAGACGAGGGTGATCAGAGGAAGTGATCGATGTCGGGATTAAGAGGGGGCGGAATAGGTGGAAGAAAAGCGGCCATTGCCGCGGGAGTCGTCGGCGCATCTTCCTCATGGAAGTGGTGTTGGACGAACGAGGGATAGAGGAAGGCCCCCGGCACATGAGACAGGACACGTGGCGCCAGATCCGCCACCGCTCGCACCACCCGCTTGCGCACCGATCTGGGCCCTGGACCCGTCATCACCACATGAGTCTCGGTGTAAGGCCGCCGCTCCCGCTTCTGCTCCGCGAAGATAAGGAAGCGGTACATCACATTGGGACGCTGCCCGGTCTCGTAGATGAGCGTCCCAGCCAGTCGCGCCGCAATACACCCTTGAAAAGGGGGTATCAGATATGGCTCCCACGCCGGATCACGGCGCGGCGCCCCCGCGATGGCCTCGAGCCTGATGGTGGTGGGCTCCACCATGAAATCCACCTCTGTCGGATGGACCGTCCGGCTCGGAGGAACTGCTAATGTCAATGATCGGGGCACCCCGGGGTGGCTGGAGCCAGGTGGGAGCGGAGAGGTCCCGCGAGGACGGGGGGTCTGGATATGGGATCCGGTATTCCCATTCGGCTTCCTCCCCCGGCTGCTGCTGCTGCTGATGGCCCGGCTCCATCAAGATTGAGATCGGGCACGCGCAGGAAGGGCGGCGATGGCATGACAGTCGCCTTAACGAGAGTCGCCGCACTCCCAGGCGCGGGGTTAAGATTTCGCGTACGCGCGAGCAGAATCACCTCCTCGCCGCCACCGATTCTGCTGCCTTGCGCTCCTGGCGACGGGTGGCGTTTCTTCCTCTTCGGTGTCTTCTTTGGGGCCTTCTGTGGCGCCGGTCGGGGATACGACCTTTCCTCCGGGAAGTCCTCCAACCTCTCCGCGCGCTGCGCAATGGCTTTTCCTCCGGGAAGTCCTCCAACCTCTCCGCGCGCTGCGCAATGTAATCCGGGATGACGACCGCTTTGTACGTTCTCCGCGGGGCCGTCGTCGTCCACAATCGTGGCTGGATCTCCTCTTCCTCGCTCGCGATCACTTGCGCAATGGAGAGGAGCTCAAGATGTATGAGCTCCAACAATCCCTGATCGATCGTCTGGAGCTGGGCGAATGGGTACAGCGCCACCGTCCCCTCCTTCTGCGCCGGCTTGGGCAGTGTGATGACGTAGTAGACAACGAAGTGCTCCCCGATGCAGTGGTCTTCGTGATCCACGAAGAATCGGAACATCCCCAACACCGCCGACTTGTACAGCGCACGGTGCAACTCCCACGCGTCTTCGTCTGCGAAGGGCAGCGGTTCCACATCAGTTAGCTCCACCAGATACTCCGAGAACTCGCGCATAGGATAAGGGTTCTCCATGAGTTGATAGGGGAGAGTGGTGTAAGAGAAGAAGGGAGGCATTTAGTACGGGGCAGGGGGAAGAGCTTGGAAGTTGAGAGGGGCAGCGGGCGGAAGAAGCGCGGGGAGCTGCGGCACCAACGCGATCGGTCCATCCTCTGCCCTGCGCAACAGCGTTTTGTGGGCTGTGAATCGGTGTTCCCCCCGTCCTTGCACTCTGGCCACCGATCTGGCCGCCTGCACTGCGTACTCGCTCACAAAACTTCGCGCCAGCTCCCGACTCGGTGGTGGCAGGATCGTCAAGTCGCCGATAAAGGTGGCGATGCTATGCACGAAGTTGGGTGCCACCTGGAGCGCGCGGAACTCGATGAACACTCGAGTCGTCTCCCGCCCAGGCAACTGCGTCACGTCCACGTACACCCCCGCATACGTCAACCAATCGCAAAGTAACGAGTACGCCGCCAGATCAGCAACCCCGGGCGCTGGCACGTTCACCTGCTAAATGTCGTACCACAACTGCCTTTACTCATTGAACTGATGCCGCAACAAGCGATCTGCAAGCGGCGTCTGGAAATGCTTGAGGGGCTCATGCTCCGGCTGGCGATGGTTCATCCTGCTCCCTGAAACTCTCAGCACCAATGGACGAGGCAAATCAGGAAGAGGAGGAAGACGAAGAAGGAGAGGATGATCTCGCAGGAGCGGGGGTCCCTATGGGGCCTAGCGATGGATGGAAGGGCCGGAGCGTGGCAGCGTGCCGTGTCAGCGGTCGGGCCTGGGAGTTGTGACGGGGAATCAGCTTCACGGAGTGCTGTCCCTGTGCGCCAACTTCCGTTACCTCGTCAATGCCTGTGTAGCGCGGGTGGATCTTGGAGGAGCGCGCGGATTTTCGTACCTGCACCAAGTCCCCAATTTTATAGCGAGGAAGTGGTCCCGCGGACGCATGTCGGTTCTCATAATCGTGGATCTGCCGTTGATGCGTCCGATCTACGGCCCGCTGTCGCTGGCGAGCTAACGGGGGATAGGCCCTAGCCATTAAGTTCATGTAGTGGCGGGCCTTATCTCTGTGCTGGGCCCGTGTTGCTCTAACTTCCGTACCTACCAAGGGGGACAACTGCACCCGAGGGACACTATTGGTTCTCAGTTGGAAGGGGGACACCCCAGTACTACCGTGTGGGGTAGCCCGATAGACAGCCAAAATGCGGTCGATAATGACAGGCCAAGGCCGGGTGTCTCCCGCAGTGATATTCCGTCTAAGAGCGGTCTTAATCAGTCGGTTGGCATTCTCTACCAGGCCATTGGCTTGAGGCCAATGCCCCGGTGAGTAGATAATCTTAACGTCCGCTTTGACTAGGTGACGTTCTCCTTCGCCTTGAAATTCCGACCCATTGTCCATGTGTACCTCTTCTACATCTAGATGCATGCACAAAAATCGGTTTACGTACCAGGCTACCTCCTGCGAATTCCGGCTGGTCATAGGGTACGCCTCGATCCATTTCGAAAAATGATCGACGGCCACTAAAAGAACATTGAGCTCTCCCTGATCGACGGGACCTCTCGGAACGTTGATATCCGTCGTGTCGATGCTAACCCTCTGAAAGGGGCGCTCTACACGAGTAGGCACCATCGTTCGAGGCATCTGTACCGGCGCATTGTCCGCCGCGCAGGCCGGGCAATTTTGGACGATGTATTTCACATCTTCCCGAATTCCCGACCAGTACCATCCATTCTTTTCGATGGCTTTTTCCGTGTACTTTACCGCGAAATGGACCGCATCCTCTTCATGAGCGGCTCATGTCCAATCGAACCTAGCGAAAGGGTGCGGAACCGTCAACCAGCTAGTCCCTCCGCCATCATCGACTTTTCGTTTTTGTAACGTCGGTCCCTGCCAGCGGTAGTCCTGCGCCCGCTCCGTGACTCTCCGCCGCTCGGCTTTGGTAAGTTCTGATAGCGAGTCGCCTAACAGCCTCCGTAGCAACAGAAGGTCCGTCCAGACTTCTGCCCGGCAGGCACTTGGCGTGAATCTGTCGGCGGTCCGTGCGTCCAGATACCGTTTCTCGGTAGGGACTTGGTCCGTTCTGCAGTTGGGACAGACCCACGTCTTTTCACTTCGGTACCTAACGCATTGTCCGTGGGATTTGACCGCTTGACACTGACTACACTGCACCCACAAAAGAAAATTGGGCCCTCCCGGATGTGACCCTTCTTGGTCCGGGACCATAGGCAAGGTACCGAAGAAACAAGGACTTAGATGTGTTTCAGGGGACGAGTAGGGACTAGACGAGAGAGCGAGGGAGTTGGATGAGGGCAAAGAGATAGCATCTGCCATCTCCGGCGAAACCTCCATTCCGGACTCAGGCGTCGTCCTTGCGCAACACGTGTAGCTCCCTGTAGCGCAGTTTCGTCGCCGCTGCTTCTGGCCTCCACGGAATGAGTCGCTCGTTGGCGGGACACTTGTTGGGCGGCAGGAGGCGCGTCAATCCATCGGCGTTGCCATGCTGCCGCGTGGCACGGTGGCGGATGTCGAAGTCATAGTCCTGCAGGCGCACCGCCCACCTTCCCAACGTCCCCGTGTAGTCCATGTTGTTGCGTAGGGACAGTAGCGGTTGATGATCCATTACCAGCACGAATTTCTGACCGTAAAGATACGGTCAGAAATGTTGAATCCCCCACACCACCGCCAAGCATTCGCCTTTGCACGCTTCGTAATTAACCTGCACGTGGCCCAACGTCTTGGATGCATACTCAATGACGTGTCCCCTTCCGTCCGCCCCGTGCTGAGTCAGCAACGCCGATATCGCCTGCGGCTGCCAATCGGTGTACAGTGCGAACGGTCTTGTCGGGTCGGGACGCGCCAACACAGGAGCAGATGTTAGAGCCTCCTTCAACGCCTGAAACGCCGCTTCGCATTCCGACGTCCAGATCAGTTGCTCCTCTTTCTTCAGCAGGTTCGTTAGGCTACGCCGGCGAACCCCTTGATTAAGCGTCGGTAATAGGATGCCAGCCCTAGAAAAGTCCGAACCTGGGTGAGTGTGACCGGCGTCGGGGCTTCTTGAACTGCTTAGTCGATCGACCGTGACGATGTACCCCAAGAATGAGATCTCTGACAAGAAGAACTCGCTTTTCTCCAAGGCCACTTTGAACCCCGCATCTTTTAGTGCATGCAAAACCCACTCAATGTGTTCCACGTGGTACTCGTGTGCTTTTGAAAAGACCAAAATATCATCCACGTACACAATCACGCAGAAATTGATCAGGGGCTGGGTTAGTCAGGTTTTGTTAACGAACTCAGCGAAGGCCATATTCATGGCCCGCTGAAACGTTGCAGGGGTGTTACAAATTCCCATGGGACACCGGACCCATTGCCACGTGCCCTCAAATAGGACAAAAGCGGTTTTGAGTCGGTCTTCTGGTCGGACTGCGACATGGTGAAAACCGTGTCGGATATCGAACTTGGAAAAGACCCGAGCGGACCCGATAGCATCTAATAAATCGTCGATTCGCGGCAAGGGATACACATCTTTGGTAGTGATAGCGTTCAATTTTCGGTAGTCGATACATACCCGGACCGAACCATTTCGTTTTGGCACGAGGACCACGGGAAAAGACCACGGTCCCAGCGATGGTTCGACCCACCCCAACCGCTCGAATTCCCGTACCCTTTCCAACGCCAGCTGTCTTTCTTTAAGGGAATATCGGTACGGTCGGCAATGTATAGGGGCGTGATCCCCGGTATCAATCGCGTGCTGTATCAAAGGGGTTAGCCCTATGCCGTGGTCCTGAATACTGACGACCTCAGGATAGGCCCGTATAACCGCCAGGAGGAGGCGTCTGTATTCATCCGGAACACAGGCTGGTAACTGAACTTCTACGGTTCCCCCAGGAAGGGAGACCGTCCTCATAACCGTGGGGACCGCCGCGCTGGCATCGGGCAAGGCCCCAAACAAAGAATTGTCGGTTTTCGCCGAAAGGACAGTCGCAATAAGTTGACTGTCCGCCGGACTCATCGGCTCGCTTTCCATGTCACTGTCACTGTCCAGTTCGGGTTCAGCCGAGGGTTCTACCGAGAAGGCCTGCGTCAGTTCCCTCGGTCCCCACCGATATTCCCTGGTTCGGGGTTGAAACGACACCCCCTCTTTCAAGAGTATCGCGGCTTTTTCATTCGTGAGTAGGGGCC